GAGAGAGAGAGAGAGAGAGAGAGAGAGAGAGAGAGAGAGAGAGTGAGAGAGAAAGAGAGAGAGAGAGAGAGAGAGATAGAGAGAAAGAGAGAGAGAGAGGGAGAGAAAGTAGAAGGAGGCGTTCTATACCCCATAAAGCATATATATTCTTGATCAGGACGACAAGCTGAGTTGATATGGCTTTATTCTTTCATTTATATATGATAGGTATGAACACCTTAATCTCAGAACATAAAAGAATGAAAGACGCTCAATTATTCTTTGCAGAACTCATTTTAAATAATAAATAGCTCTTTCCAATATCTATTTAAATATTATTAAACTTCAAAATTCTGTGTCGTGTTTTATCGTTTTCATTTAAGATTACGGCAAACTAAGTTATTATATGTGATATCTTTCTCTCTATCGTATATGTCTTTTGGGTTGGGTTTTTCATTTTTCACTTAATTTGAAAACTGTATCGAATCGCTCGATTTACCTTTGATGTGGCAAATGCATTCGAATTAGTTCCAAGTCATCCCAGATTGAGCATAGTAAAAAACCGTGAATATTTTCGTTGTCAAACTGGAACCGAAGGGATTCGATATTCGCTTCTCGGGCATCGATTGGGCTAATGTCACGTTCCAGTTTTTGGGGGTTCACATTGATGCAATTGCGTTGACCTTTAAGGGTTGGTTGCAAAGGACTGCACGGCCGTGTGCATTGCGGGCTAATTTCACGCCTGTCCGGCTCTAATCCCCGGCCCAGTACGAGCGTCGCTCAATCAGCGCCAAATTAACACCATAAAACTTGGCAGCCACCAAAAGACTTTGTGCCATTGCAATTTGCCTGACTACTTTTTGGGGGTGCTGTGTATGAGAGAGATAGATAGAAAGAGAGAGAGAGAGAGTGTGTGTGTATTAAGAAATTCAGTCAGTCTCATTGTCTGTTGTCTCCGAGTCAGCGTGAGCTTGTGACCCAGACTCCAGGCTCGGATGCGATTCGTAATGCCAGCTGCGTATGCTGAGCACGTAGCCTTTGGCTGGTGGTGGAATCTGTTCCGACGGGGCTTCAATAATTGACAAGCGCAGCATTTGGCGACTACGTGCCACAACCAACCAAAAAAAAAAAAAAAAAAAAAAAGTGGTCAACGAGCATTTGCAATAGGCATTGGCAGCGACAGCAGCAGAAGCAGCAGCACCAGCCACAGCTCATAAAACTGCCTCAAAACTGACCTGGATGGGTAATTTATGTGGCCTGGGTGTTAAGCGATGTCCAATTCCGTGGGCAATTGCATGTAAAAGTTGTTCGTTGCCTGCGTTTAATTTATATCGGCCACTAACAACAACAACAACAACTATGCCAGGTAGCCCACAAGACGCTCGAACGGGCAAGGCCGATGAACGGCTAAGGGCGTCGAGCGAAGGGCGCAGGGGGAACGCAACGGTAGATGGCCTACGGTACGGAACGGACGCTCTATGTGCGTCTGGAGTTTGCCTGCTCAGCGTTTTCATTGAGAAGTGTGTGGTGCGTTCGCTTCATTCATGGCCAGACTAGAGAAGAGAGCGTGACACGCTAGACTCACGAGTGTCGAAGAAGAACTTTCGATAAATGTAAAGATATATACGTTTTGGGCTAGATATGGTTGAAAGAGTGAAAAGTGCAACGGAATAATTTGGATTTCATAGAATTATATAAACTTATTATTAGAACTATATAGATTCATTAAAGGAGGAGGTATCAGAGAAGAATGATATATAGAAAGAAGAGAAGCAAATAATAAGAAGAATATCATTGGAGATGAAAAAAGAAGAAAGTAAGATAAGCAACAGAGATTAAAAATGATAAAGATCATAAAAGAATTTATGAGTAATATATGAGTAATATATGTATATGAAGAAGAAGATAAAGTGGGATAGTATAGCTTGGGATAGTATATGAATTAAGGAGATAATTGAGGAGATAATTGAAGGACATATTGTGCGCCAATTGAAATTATAAGCTCAAAATATATAGATGAGAGCCAAAAGAAAAGCTAAATATGCCCAATTAATCTTACTCAATGTGTTTGTGGATAGATATGATATATGTACATATGTATGTATGTATAAACATGTTGATATATATTTGTAAATATATTGAATTGTCAATTACAATTAGGCTAACGATGTTGATGGGCAATCAAATCACGTTGCCATCTCTAATTGATATTGCCAAAGCCATTCATTCAGTCAGTCGCTCATTCATTTGCCGCCTTATTGTTGTTACTTATCGCCCAAGTTGTTTCGCAAAGGCCAAAAATTCAATTGAGCGGAAAATATGTTGTCTTTGCGATTTTCCTTTTGGCATGCTCGTTTATCTGGCCGCCTTATTGTGTAATGATGACAAAGTGCTGCTGCCGCTGCCGCTGCTGCTGCTGCTGCCGCTGCTGCTGCTGCTGTTGATGGCAATGATGCCGAAGTCGATCCGGAATGCTGCTGGTTGCCAGCTCCTTTGTGCTAGCCTGATGTCCGCCATCTCGTTCCAGTCAGAGTCACAGTCACAGTTAAAGTCGATGTGCCTCTGTCTCTGTCTCTGTCTCTCTCTCTCTCTTTCAGTCTTTGTCTTCGTCTCATTCTCATTCTCATACTCAGTTCGCATCAGCACATTCATTCATTTGTCTGCGTGCTCATTCATAAACTAAACGGACAGGCACCGAGATCCGGGCTGTGGGCCTTTTTGCACTCATTGCTTTAGTGCCCAGGACGTTGTCCAGCTGTCGCTGCTGCGTAGCTAAAGCGACAGTTGACAAAGGCTAAGCAGGCAGAGCCAGCTATTCACCGCTTAACACACAGCAGTCGCCGTCGCCATCGCCGTCGCCGTCGCAGTCGGCGTCGCAGTTGCCGTCACATTTGCCATGTCCAGTTAGTTCACAGTTTCATCTCCTGCCGGCAGCGTAAAAATTTCAATTCGCCATACAACTTTGCGGTCATTTATACAAACAGACACACGCGCACAAATGCACACACACACATATACACATACATACACTCTATCATTTCTTTTTTCTTTTTACACACACACACTCAGTGGGAGTTCTATCTCTGTGTTCTTTTTTTCTGCGTTTAGCCAAGCCAGGCCTTTCATATTACAGTTACAAATTTGCGTCTATTGTTGGTAATGGTGATGCTGTGGCGTTGTCCTCGACCAGAGCCAGAGCCATAGCCAGAGTCGGAGCCAGTTCCAGTTGCCAGTTGCCTGCGGCGCTGTGCCTGATTACTTTTTCTAGCTTACTTAAAATTCGATTAGGCCACGCCCACTAACTAACTTTTTTGTTTGTGTTGTTCTGGTTTTTGCCATACGTCTGCTCGGCTCCCTCTCATTTTCTCTTTCAGTCGCTCACTTTCCCTCTGCCTCACTCTCTAAGCATGCTTCTTCTTTTATTTTGCAGTTTGCGAGGGATTGGAATTATTGCACGGATTTCGTTGATTGCAGAAGCGTAAGTACATGCCCCGCCTCCAGCTCAAACAGCAGCAGCATCAACATCAGTAAAAGCTCCCTACACGCGCTCACGCCCCCAACGCCTCACCGCCCCACCGTCCCACTCCATTTAATGATAAGTACAAAGACAGCGGTTAGATGCGATAACAACAGCCTGAATAGCCTTAAGCCATGGCTTCCTAAACCATCCAGCAACAGTTCATAATTATTATGATCCCTTAACCCATTAATGTGCCCGATGAGTAAATGCTTTTGCCGCTCCAACTAAATACTTCGCTAACAACTATGAAATTTTAATGCAATGCTAATATACTTGGCTTCAAATTAAGTGCTATCTGGAGGCCAATTTCGAGGGAGTTGTATGTTCCTCTGCATATATTCTGTGAAAGCTCTTAGCCGGATCTTAATTTATTTAAATATCGCGCTTGATTTTAAAGCACACCTTGCTTGCTTTTATTTTATTTTTTTCTATGGCGGTCTAGCGATAATTAAGAGATGCAATCCGCTGTATTCACATTTTTGAAAGCCCTCAAATCACTTGAAATTGAAAAGTTTCACATAACAAATTTTGATTGCATGGCGCAAACATTTTCTCCAAATATGTAACGTTTTCAATTTGAAGAGCATTCCATTTCAGTTGTTAGCCAAGGCTAAAACGGGCATTTACAAAGCTAAAAAAAACCAAAACAAAAAAGGAATAGAATAAAAATGGCCGTGCTGCAATGCCAACAAAAAACAAGAGAAAAATAAAAACAATAAACGTCAAATCGAAAAAGCAATTTAAAACTAAGCAAAAAAAAGCTTTGTAAAATGAATGCAACAAAAAAAAGGCACTTTTCAATGCTAGCGCATCTAATGCCTGCAAAACCTATCGATAGTTTTGCAGGCTGAGCTAATTCGCTGATCAAGACAAAAAAAAAGTACATGGAAATTTTTCAATACTGGCGCAGCAAATGCCAGTCCTGTAAACATATCGATAGCTTTGTTTTTAAGCTACCTCAATAAAGGCCAGCTTATCGATAGCAGAACATTCGCAGAGATCCTCATTTCGAATGCAAACAAACATTCAAAATGAAATTCGCCAGAAATCTGACGCACAGATTGCACAGGAAACGGTTATTTGTGTGCGTATTCAAGTACGTGGGCGCATTAATGGGTTAAATCTCGTTGCTTTCGATTGCTGCGGGCGGCTGGCAAAATTGCGTTGGCAATTTGCGACTTTTTCATCCGCCCCACCATATCCTGCAGCGATATATACATACATCTGTATGTATGTATGAATGTATGTATATATATGTATGTATATCTCTGCTACTACCGTTATGCTTTTGCTTTTGCTGTTTGCGCTTAGCTTTGGCTTTGGCTCTGCCATTTTCCTAATGTCGAAACCATCCACAGTGTTGGCAAAACTGCCACAGGCAATTGGCGCCCTTTGAGCTGCGCGTCCACCATGCCCAACGACAGGGTGCCCTGGTGCTGACCGACATCGGATGGGACGAGATGATTGCGAACGCATCGCGTCAATGCCTGATCACCTGGGAGGTATCCGGCGGCGGTCTCATGGGCAACCTGCTCACAGACACAGCACGCGCCGAGCTGTCACTCTGGCCGGATACAGTGTACAACATACAGGTGACCTGCAAGCATAAGGTAAGCCAGTTCAAGTCCACAGCCTTTGACCACAGTGTGTGACAGGATAGAAATTGTCAAACCATTCTGTTTGTAGCTAACGGGTCTGATGCGGCGTTCACTGAAGCTCAATGTGGACACACATCGGCTGCTGTCAGCGGCAGCGGCAGCCAATCGTTGGACAAATCCCAGCCTGTTGCCCCTAAATGTGGATATGCTGCCAGCGGCAACAACAACAACAGCAACAGCAGCAAAAGCAATAGCCACAGCAACGGCAGCAACATCAGCAACAGCCACACCACCACCGCCAACAGCAGCAACAACAACAACAACAACGGGAGCAGTAACAGCAATTTTGCAACGCACTCGACCCACAGACCGTGTGTACATCATCAGTGCATTGCCAACGGCCAGCCAGCTGAGCGGCGTTGTGTATCCGGCCTTTGGTGCGCTGGCTTTCTTCCTGGCATTGCTCGTTATGTTCCTGTTTCTGCGTCCGCAACGCAAGCGGGCCACTGATGGGGATGCGGACACCGCATCTCTACTAAGCGGACGTCGCTCGCGGCTCTCCATGGACAACTCAACGCTGCATGTGTAGGCGCTCAAAAAGGCGAATCGAGTTAAATGACAAAATAACAGCAATATCAGCAGCAACAACAACAACAACAACAACAACAACAACAAAAAGAGAGAACTTGTAGTCGTTCATGTCTGACTATGTGATATTCTGCACCCAAATTGTACATAACATAGATACACATACACAATACAGACACATTCACACACAAGCACATACACACAACTACATACATACATACCTACTATATATGTAGCCTACATATACTATACTATGCATACTATACATAAATGTGCGTATTAAAACATATATAGTTATCAAATCAAATATCTCACATCAAGTCCAAAAAAAAAAAGAAAGAAAGAAAAAAAACAAACAAAAACAAAACAAATGAGAAAAAAAGTTCGCTCAATCGTACGATTAAGTTTTACCTTTTTTTAGTATTTAGGGCCAAAAACAAAAACAAAACAAAACAGTCATAAATTATATAGAATATATATATATATACATACATATACATATTAACTATATACATTAACGCGTACACTATATACATACATACATATATATGGTATATATAGATATAGATATATGCCATATCCTAGTTATACATCTATAGACATAATTTAGGGGCTGCGGCCAATCAACTACATACACCAAACTAAATGCAACAAATTGCTACAAATTTTTATGCAACATACAATTTTTTTCTCGTCGCGTCGCTTTTTTCAAAACTAAACTAAACAAACTAAAACTAAATTATAATACTAATAAAAAAAAAAGAAAACATACAAATATACATATATAAACAAAAACAAAATGGAAATCTTAAAGATCGCATGTCGTTTTCAAATTTGTCGTCTATATAATAATATGAATTTAAAAACAAAACATAAATGCATAAATTCCAATTAAATCATACCAAAACAAAACAAATTAAACTAAAATCAAAATGGAATATTTTTCAAAATTTTTAAATGTTTATATATCTAGCTAAAATGAAAAAACAATTACAAATTCAAAACTAACTAAACTACATAAATCTAATGCAAATTATGTACTTGAGCAAGTCAAAAGAAGAAGAAGAGCAAAACCAAAAAAATGAAAAAGTCAAAAAAGAGAGAAAAAAAGCTTCGCTACGCAAAATGCCTGTAAATATCTAAGCGTCATTCAGATAAGATAAAACTTTTTTTTTATATACATATATACATATATATATACACATATATGAATATTATCGAAATCTAGCTCTTTTCCAGGTCAAAGTATCCTAAATAGTTTAAGCAGCAGCAGCAGATGAGGCTACAGCAAAATCAACTGGATTCATGAAATGTAAAATCTGTTTGTCTGACATACATACATACATATATGCATATACGATACATACCTACATACATACATAACTACATACATATATACCTAATCTAATGATAATCAACTACAGATTTGTAGTACTCAATATATATATATATATATATTTACATGTATATATATTCTCAAAGACTAGCAAACTGTTTGCTTTCCCCCAGATCGGACCAAGTTTGTGGCTTGAGTTTGATTCGATTCAGTTTTTGAATGTTTTTGGACTAGCCTCTAGTCGAATGCAAAACACATATACAACCATACATACATACATATGTAGTTAGTTTTCTATTGTAGCATTCCCGATCCCCCCCAGAAGCAACCAAGATAGGCGGCAAATCGAAAAGCGAAATACGCTCGTATGTATGGCTATCTAGATAGGTGACAGCAATAGAGTTCAGCCTAGAGACTAAAACAAACGCAATTAAACCAAAACTATATAACTCTCTCTTTCTCTATATATAGAGATATATACTATATACTACATAGATACACATATAACCAGGCTGATGAGGAGAACTTTTGTGCAGAGTCTGAAATATATATATATATACATATATATAGGTATTAGTTAAAAAAAAAACAACTTGTCAATCGATTTACCGGAAAAGAGCATACAAGATGCGGTGCACACCGATCGATATACTATAAACAACAACAACAAATCATAAATAATACGAGAATATAAATTGTATCAATATATGTATTCATACAACTATATATATATGTATGTGCATATATATGTGTGTGTGTATATTTGAATAATTCTAGTTGAAGTTTAGTGTGTTTTTTTTTACTATTATTATTATTATTGTTTTACTCATTTATTTTTTTTTTTAGTTTCTGCATTTAGCATTATTATTTTTATTTGATTATGTAAATATAATTTGATTTGTTATTGCAGCGCATTTTGGGTTTTATTTGTGCTGTTGGGTTTGGATTTGGGGCTCGGGCTTGGGTCTGTTGGCATGGGAATATCATTTGCCATGGGCGGCGTGCGCGGGGGTGCAAGGGGGTGCGAGGGGTTGCGCGCTTGTTGCCAAACTAACCCATCGATTTTTTCTCTCTTTCTCATTTCATTTGTGCTCTGCGCTGCGCTGCGCTGCGCTGCGCTGCGCTGCGCTGCGCTGCCGCATGGATGTTGGTTGATAAAAACAACAAAATGGATAACCACTTACCATATAAATTGGAGCCGCAAAATATGCCAACGATAAAAAAGAAGCAGAAAACAAAACAAAAATAACAACAGTTACAAAATAGAAGCAGCTTTTGTTGCGGGGGTGTGTCCGCAGCCCTCCCCCCTTCCCCCACACACACGCCTCGTCAGCCGCCCCCAGCGTTCATGATGGAGGCGTGTGTTGTACTTTATCCAATTGGTATGCGCTCTGGCTTGGTTTACCTAGTTATGGAGCTGGCAGGCATTTTTTGTTGTTGTTGTTGTTATTGTTTTTTTTTGCCTTTTGATTATTTTGTTGCAACATTTACATTTATACATTTATGTATTTGTATGGGTTTTACCTTGTTTCTTAACTGTTTGCCATGAATAACTCTCCCCCTCTCTCTCCCTCTTGGCATGCATAATTCTGCCCTACTTTGACTTTTACGATTTTTGCTTACTTAGCCCCCTCCCCCCAGCCCATGGCCTAGGAGATGCATTCCCTATTTACTAAATGTAATCAATGGCAACTTTGACAACATCTCTTTAATTGGCTTATAATAGTTTACTCTTCCTCTTCCTTTTCCTTTGCCGCGTTTCGTTTTTATTAATATTTCTTTTTTTTCTTGAGATTTCTAATGGATTTATTGGTTGTTTTGACAGTTGTCTGCGCTGACATCTAAATGGATCACTCTATTTATCCAAGCAACAGTTCGCGCGCTCTCCCTCTCTCCCTCTCACGCTCCCTCTATCTGTCTCGCTCTTTGATAATATGAGCTGTTGTGCAAACATTTGAAATTCCTTAAGCTCAAATATAGGAGTAGAAGAGCTCTTCTAGACGCAATTACATGATTTGTTTTACAATGTAACACTTTTTCCTCTTCTCATCTCTAACCCTACGTATGTGTGTGTGTGTGTGTATGTGTGTGTTATCTCTTGAGTTGCCGTTAGCTAAGTCCAACATCGTTACAGATTTTTCCACTTGAGGATTTGTTTTGAATTTCAATACACACACAAAAAAAAAAAAAAAAAAAAAAAAAAAAAAAAAAGAAATGACGACAACAACATAAAGAAGCAGCATCTTGTTGAGACTTTAGGTAACCCAAAAGGGGCGTGCACCCACACTAAACAAGAAAAATCTCAAGTTGCATTATCTCAAGTTCCATTTGGAGTTGAGTGAGGCCAAAGGGGTTCGGGCTGCGGCTTCACCTAGCTGAGCCAGCTGCTCCAATCTGAATGGCGGATGGGGGCACTTGGCTGGCATTTGTTGGTCGGCTTGACGGGGGCTGAATTGGATTGAATGGGGCGGGGCAGGGCAGGGCCGAGCTGCGCTATGCAATGCTATGCCGGCTGGCCACTTGGCTTTCAGCTCTCAGCTCTCTGCTCTACACTCTCCATTCTACTTGTGCTCAAGCACTTTTTATAAACCAAATTAAATTTATATGGGCCTCCGGCAGTCAACAACGCTCGCTCGCCTGCCCAGCACTTGGCACCCAAAACTCATACAATACCCCCTTCCCATTCCCGTTCCCGTTCCCATTCCCAGTCCAATTTCCATTTCCATGCTCATTCCCATTCCAAATCCCATGCTATTCCACCTCTCTCTCACTCTCTCTCTCTCTCTTTCGCTCGCACGCTCTGTGGGCGCTGTCAACTGCCAATTAGCTGAGCATTTTTCAACATTTTAAATTGTCTTGCCGAGTGCGTGGCCCCAGCTCTGGGGCAACACTTGAGTGAGTCGTTTTATGCGACACAGCCTTCAGATTTTTACCCCAGCTTTCTTTTGCTTTTTTATTGTAGTTGCTGTTGTTGTTTGTTTTTTGCTGTTGCTATTGTTATTGTTGTTGTCGTTGTTGTTGCTGCTGTCAGCTGTGCAGCGCGTGCTTCATTTATCAAAAAGCAATTACAATGTTATAGGCAATTCGATGCTTGATTCAGCAAGAGCCCCATGGGCTATAGACACACTGGCTGCTGCTTCATCATCAGCAGCAGCAACAACAACAACAACAACATCATCAGCCCACCTGCTAAAACAAAGGCAAGAGCAGAGCCAACTCAGCTTTATTTCGTTTATTGTTGTTCTACATCTTCATTTTTTTGCTCATTTTTACAAATACATACATACATACATATGTATATATATACATATAAAAGTATATATAGATAAATTGAAAAGAAAATTCAAGTTGAAAACAAAAAGAAAAACCAAAAAGCATATAGCGCGTACCTACAAACATATTGTATTACAAAAACAACACAAATTATTAACTTTAAGTAGACGAAAAGACAAAAAAAAAAAAGCGCAAGCAAAGAATACAAATGAAGATGCAGAAAAAAAGCAACATGAAAAGAGAAAAAATAAAATTAGACTACAAAACTCAAAACAAGCGAAATGCTAGAAACCACTAGAGATGGGAGAAGAGGTGGGAGAGCAGAGCCCACTAGCGATGGGCAGCAGCACTAGAGAGGAGACAAGAGGCGGCAACAGCAACAGCAGCAGCAGCAGCAGTGGCGATGCCGGCGCTCACTAGAGAGGAGAGTGCAGAGCGTAGACGAGGCAATGGCAGCGGATGAGCAAGAGCAAGCAGAAGAAGACAAAAAGCGAGCATGTGTTTGTGCTATAAAAGGTTTCTCATTACAATTTTTGGCCAAGGGTCGCATCGTTGCACAAAATTACTTTTTGTTGTCGTTGTTGTTGTTTTTGGTGCTTCAAATGCTGCTGCTGCTGCTGCGTCGCGCTCTCAACGCCAGCGGCGCTTTTAGAGAAAGTGGTGGTTGTGCGGCGGGTGGGGGGTTGGCGGCGGCGTCCTTAGTAGGTGTTCGGCTGACTGAAGTGGCGGGGCGGCAGCAGCTAAGGGGCAGCGGGCACAGGACAGGGCGATTGATATACAACACACAGCCGCGCTGTGATACACACACACACAAACACACACACACCTACACATATACCTAAATATATACATATGTATGTACGTTTGTATACATTTATATATATGTAGTATATATGGTACACATAGAGATGCTTATGCTGTTTATAGCTAACAGTTGCTGTTCCACAAACAAACACACCCACAAGCACGCGAGCTCATACACAGACACACACCCACACACACACACGCGCACACATAGAGAGACAGCAGCACTGTAGCTAGGGCGGTTGCACGTGACATGACCAAACATGTTCGAGGCTGGCAGCAAGCGCTAGGTTCGATGCAAAGGATAAAACGTATTCCACATCCCAAATGGCAGCCAAACGAAGCGGCAGTGCGTCGGCGCCTTGCCACAGCTCGCTCACACATACAGCCACACATACACGCATACAGATGCACACAGACACAATGGGCAGGAAACAGGCAACGAGCACAACAACAACAACAGCAACAGCAACACAATGAAGCCTTGCCTTTATGCCTTGCTCTTGATGCTGTTGCTGGTGGTGCTGTTGGTGCTGCTGCTGCTGCTGCTGCTGCTGCTCTTGGCGTGGCACAATTCGCGGGCGCTGTGCTCACATTTAACCTTACCAAAGGTTACGCGCGGAGTAGGCGCGAGCGCCAACGATGTTAGCCGACGACAGCTGCCAGGCCGAAGAGCTGTTGAAGTTTTGCCCCGTCACAGCTGTCTCTGCAGATATAGAGATGACGATGAGCTGATACTTGGCTTTATGCTCGCCGCCCGCTCACTGTTGGCCCATTGGCTGCTGAATGCTGCCGCTGCTGCTGCCACTGCTGCTGACGCTGCTGCTGCTGCCGTTGCAATTGACAGCTGTGACGGGCGGTAACATGTTGATACGGGGCGCTTTGTTGTTTCTCAGAGATTTCATCTAATTCGCTTTGCGTTACACTTGATTTTCGGCTTGTCTTATTAAAAGACAATCAGATTGGAGTTTTCCTTATATTAAGGGCATGTGTCACTGTTAATCTTCTCAAGCATTTCTCAGCGGATTCCACTGACGGCACTTAAGCCCAAATGAGTGATTTTTTACACTCTATCTTGCTTTCGCCGTCTACAATTTATCAACTATGATGCAGTCACTGACTGCCTGACAATATCGAATCACAGTGACTAATCACATCAATGTGGATTAGTGATATTGTAAGTAGACGTAAGTATGACGGAGTATATCTACATACATGTGCACATGGCTGGCATATGCAATGGGTCTCCCAGATGAAACATAAAAATGGATGCAGTAAATAATGGAGATTAGGAGAACTTGCTACGATCTTTGACCAAAATTGTACAAGAATTTATAATTCTTTTTTTTTTTTTTTTAATATAGAGCAACTTTCTATACTCATTCAAGAAAATGAAATGGGTATATTGATTTTGTGCAATGTCTGTCTGTGTGGATGTAGTAAATGATAGAGATTAAGAAATGTTATTTATTTATTTAATAATTTTTTATTGTTTATAAAATTTAAACCAACTTTTATTTTAACCTTAAATTCAGACCAACTTTACCTACAGACATTTAATTTGCAGCTTTGTCAATCTGGGAAATAATCCCATCATCGGAGGCGCTGCTACATATTTTAGTTTCTCATTTAGTTACATCGAAACAGTAAACATCACAGAAAATGGTAGAAAATTTTCATTGATACATATAAATTCAAATGTTTCACTTCACTTCAACAGTATCCCAGAAAACTATTTAAAAACAGAAAAAGCAGAAAAAAAACGAAAAAAAAAATAAAATAAAAATAAATAAATACAAAAAACATTTACCACGGCTGTAACCCCCATTGGATTCATTATTGTTGAAAGCTTGAACTAAATTTGGCGAACTGAAGCTTTGCTTGAGACTGATGAAACTGAAACTAATAATAAAGTTAGTTTATGGGTATGTATATATGCAAATATCGATATGAACATTACAAAAAAAAAGATATAAGAGAATAAGTTGGAATTGTGTTTGTGTAGAAGCTGTTAGAAAGTTTACAACTTGTATTCCCTGAATTACCTATGGGAAGTAAGAGTATGATGTTGACATACCAGATTCCATAGAAAGTATATAGCGTATAAGCCGGTTATAGCGTTTTTACGGATATAGTGACGAACGTTATAGAGTATGTAGATTATATGCTAAAAATTGCATTGAAATCCACCAAGTAATACAGAAGTTACTGAACAAGATGCAGCCTCAAGCTCACGAGCTTAATATACACATACATATATATATATATATATATATATATATATATATATGTATATATTCTCCCAATACTAGAGACTTGTGCTTTAGCAAATAACGTTAGTTAAGAGACATCATCATGCTCAGAAGATTTAGCTCGGAAAGTTCTTCAGCCTAGTAGGCACTGTTATTCATAGTGTATTGAAATCCAAATTTAGCAGTTATGTAGTCAGTGTCGTAAAATTACTGACATCAGAACAAAATATAAAATATATTTTGATATATCCAGATATAATAATAAATATTTAAATATTATCATTCACCCTTATAACATTGCCAATAGAAATAATATTCGCTTGTAAACCACATTGTCGGCATTGTTACAAAAGCGAAAACCCCCCTCCCAAAAAGAAAACCTAGAAGGAACAAAGCAAGAGTTAAAGAGTATCAAAAAGCCACTACTGCAATGGAGAAGGTGAGCAAAGCGAAGTGGGCGGAAATCTGTAATACCTTTGCCATATTGGATGTCGATGGAAGTGGACTGTTAACAGCCAGAGCGCTGTGTGGCATGATGCGTGTATTTGGCTATGAGAACAGCGAAGAGGATGTGCAGAGGATGATAGATGCCGTCGATACCGATGGCAGCGGTAAAATGGACCGCGACAAATTCTGTGCCGCTCTACTTTGGACGCTGAAGCCCGAGGAGTCAAGCCCCAGCCAGGAGTCCGACGACTCTTCAGATGACCAAAGTTCATCATCCAATGAAACGTCTAGTTCAAACGAGTAAAATATTTCCCAGACAAGGACGACGAAAAAAAGGAAATCGAAAACCTCCCCAAAAAAACCAACAATAGTTTATTGCATTTCCACTTGCTCGGTCTCTGCGAGTCTGTGTGCATACATAAATACGATATAATGATGATGTACCTAAGGCATTTACATATATCACGTATATATATGTACGTGTATGTATATTCATATATATAAAACTATGTTTGTTAGATCACACAATGAATCCTTCTCCACGCAACATTTCTGTTCGCCGCAACACACAAACAAGCCAACAAAAAAAGGATACCGAACGGAAGAATGGGGAATAAATTAAGTGTTATATTTAAAAAATTAAATGAAAAGAACAAAAAACAAAAAAATAAAATATAATAAAAATATATATATTATATAATGGATGGGATAAAGCTGAACCACCTCTAAAAATAGAGTGACGATTGGTCTGCAGTTGATTCGAACTCGATTTGATAAGTATGGTCAGACTCCGAAAAGTTCTTTTAAGAATTTACCACGCCTATAGTGGGAAAAACTTACCCCAGTTCAGAAAGACGAATATTGGACAAATTCAATATAATCATTCCTAGAATCGATCTATATTTATATTAGAAAGGAATAGCTCTTCCGAGCCAATAGAACTTGTATAATTTCAAATAGACCTTAGCGCACCGAAAACTTCAGCTTGTTTCCTATTTTAATAAATCCCGGTATTTATGTAAAATATATAGCATACCTTTTAGGGCACAAAAATTCATTTGCAAATCTTGAAAATTATCTACTTAACTATCTATAATACATATTTACATACATATAATAATTATAAATTGTAGAGCAAACACAATTCATTATGTCTTTAAAGCCTTTTAATACTCACGTTTTTTTTTTTCATGTAAGGATTCATTTCTTGTATTTTGATAAAACAAAATGTTGGTGTTTATTTCAGCTCAAAGGTTGATGAATACAAAAAAAATATATATATTCATATATACATACATATACATATACATATATATAAATATATATACATATACATATACATATAC